CGATGTACAAATGCGCTTTACACAATTGATGTGTGTATGGATTGGGATAACAGTTGTATGAGCCCCAAATAAAATGATTTTTTTAAAAGAAAAAAAATATATATATATAGGCATCGTGGGGGGAAAAAGATAATTTTTCTCTATTTCTTTTCTTAAAAATGATACAAACTTAAAAGTGAGACTTAGATACAACGAAAATGTAAAGTCTTAATTTGTAAATAGCCATAATACCAATTCATGGCTTGTTTTTCAAACACATTTGTTTTTAAAACTCTGATTGCTCTTCCTCCCTGCTGCCAATAGTTATGTTGAATTTTTTTTAATTCAAAGCTAGTTTAGATATTTCTGATGAAATTATCCACCAACCAATCAATACGGCTAGTGCAGGAAGATGCATTCTCTAAATCAGAGCAGTCTGGATTTGCCTTGTTTCACAACAGCATAAAGAACCACCGCAACAAAGAAATCGGCCTACAATGTATTATTACAGGAAAAAAATAAATGATAAATGTACATGTGGTGAAATGAGTTCCTTTAAAATAGCAAAGAATAGCCTGTTTTTTTTGGAAAAACAACCCAAGAGATTTTTCCTCTAAACAAGTGGTTCTCAACCTTCCTAATGCCGCAACCCTTTAATACAGTTCCTCATGTTGTGGTGACCCCCCAACCATAAAATTATTTTCGTTGCTACTTCATAACTAATTTCGCCACTGTTATGAATCAGGCAACCCCTGTGAAAGGGTTGCTTAGTCCCCAACACGACCCACAGGCTGAGAACCGCTGCTCTAAACCCAGAGGAGTTAACCTTGCTCTAGTTTTTTACTTTAGAGGGTCTGTTACTTTTGCCAATAGACTGGTATTTCCCAAGGAACTTGTAAACAAGTTCGTTTTGATACTTTTCCTTTGGTCCTGGACTACAGTATTCTTTGTGACTGGTTTGCACCTTGCACGACTTGGTCAACAGACTATGCAATGACATATGTGTTTTAGGAGGGGATTACTCAATTCAGCGGCTGGTGCTGCCTCCCCCGCCCCTTCCTGTGGGAATGCCACACCTTGAAACTGACCAGGAGTTTGAAGAGGTTTTTCAGACAGAAAAGCAGCAGGAAGAGAAGATGAAAGCAGCTGCAGCAGAAGAAACAGGCAGTAAGGAGAGTTGTAAGACAGGCCAAGGGCTGTAACACCGAAGGTGGTGACAGGCCCAGAAGGGGTCCCCTCGCAGTGTCAGTGGTGACACACTGCAGGGCCAACAGATGCCTCTTCTGAGTGAGACAAGAGGAGCCTGTCCTCAGGACAGGAGAAAAGGAGGCATAGTCTGTCAAAAATAGCTGATTAAGCAGGTATCAGGCACCAAAGACCATAAAATTCATAGCATTGTGAATGAGGGAGAGTGTAGAGTAGAAAGGCCCATTTGTGGGCAACTGGACATCTCCTTGCAGAAGGGTCGCGGGGAGGAGACGAGCCAGTCAGGGTGCAGTGTAGCAATGATGAAACACAATTTTCCTCTAGTTCTTGAGTTCTTCCTCCCCTCCACTGTCATGATCCCAATTTTACCTTACAAATCCGGCTCGACTGGAGGATGTGCACTGGTACAGATAGGAACTGGAAACACAGGGAATCCAGGACAGATGAACCCCTCAGGACCAGTGGAGAGAGCAGAGATACCAGGAGGGTAAGGGGAAGGTGGAGGGAGAAAGGGGGAACAGATTACAAGGATCTACATATAACCTCATCCCTGGGGGACAGACAGTGGAGAAGTGGGTGAAGGGAGACACTGGACAGTGTAAGATATGACAAAATAATAATGATCTATAAATTATCAAGGGTTCATGGGGGAGGGAGGGAAAAAATGAGGAGCGAATATCAGGGTCTCCAACAGAAAGCAAATGTTTTGAGAATGATGAGGGCAACAAATGTACAAAAGTACTTGACACAATGGATGTATGTGTGGATTGAGATAAGAGTTGTACAAGCCCCAATAAAATTATTTAATTAAATCCCCACAACCCCCCCTCCCCCAAATAGCTGATAAACGTGCCCTGCTTGAAGATGGGAAATTTAGCCTTTATATTCCCTGACCTGAACCTTGAGCTGTAGCTGGTTCCTTTTCACTTAACTATAAATATGGTCCTTGAATTCTATATGACCATTGCAATGGGTGATCAAACCCTGAACAGAAGTAGTAGTGGAGTATTGTGGGAGGCACGGCTAGTGTCAGAATTGTTTGGAGAGGAGAGGTAGGTATGTATGTAGGTAGTTAGGTATGTCTAGATCACAGGGATCTCCCTAAAGGTGGACAGCTCTGATGCAACAGTTGATACTAGTCTCATTTTACAGTATGTAAAGTGTTTTGCAAGCTACAGTATTTATAGATTTATACAGTATTTACATATATGAAGTACTGTTAACATTATTCAACTGTTAATGAAAAGAGGAACTTGTTAGCCAATATTTTGATCTCAATTTACAGAGATTCAACAGAACACTGTTTGTCATGCACATGCCACTAAACTGTTAAGATGGTAACTATATGTTCCCTCATTTCCATTGCATTTCTAAATAAAATGGAACATACCTTCATTTTGAAAACTGGCTGGAATTCTTTCAGAGCAGATAACAATTTAATCTGAAGTGAAGCTCTTTCAGCTTCTTTACCATCTGCAAAAACATCAAACAGGGCATCCAGAGCTTCACCGGCCACTACAACGGAAGGATCTTTGGTGGCAACTTCAAGCAGAAAGCACCCAATGGTCTGGAGACAACAAAACAATCATTACCGTCTGGTATTCTAAGGTGAGTCAAAGTAGGTGTTTAAAAGATGCATGTAAACCAATCCATTCTTCCCTCAAAAAAAGCTTCCCTCATGGTGCCAACAGGTATAGAAACCTTATCTGTAACAATAGGAAAAAACAGAACAAAACATAAAACAAATCCACTCCTTTTAAAATTAGATAACTAAGATAACAAAAAGAACAAAAAATAATTTCATCTTCCTTGGAACAATGTGAATATAGACGAGGTAGCGGAAATACTAAGAAATTTAATAAAAAAGAAATACTAAGAAATTACTGTTAATTAGGTAAGGTGTGATACATAAGTTGTAATATAATAATTTGTTATGTAATAAACTACCCCAATTTTTTTGGTACATACTGAATAAAAAGATATCATGATACTTTTAATGTACTCAGCAAAGAAACCATATGGCAAATGTTAGTACCTGCTAAATCTACTTGAAGGGTATACAAAACTCAGTATTTTCTCTCTACATTTGTTTGCAAATGTTAACAAAAACAATTTTTAAACTTACACCTGAGAAAACTTGCTGTTTTTCTAAAGTTGAATTCGAAAATTATATTCAAAAGTGGAAAGTGACTATACACACAAAAATGTATTTATAGACGTGTACACCACTTACTTGTATCTATAAATACCCAAGAATGATACAGAAGAAAATGCTAACAGTGACTGTCTCCCCTGGGTGCAGTGGGGGGCTGGGAATTTAGGGTGGCAGTGAGTTTTTTCACTTTATATCCTTTTCTTACTTTCCTAGATTTTTTGCTGTATACATGAACTATTTTAAAAAAGTATTAAAATGACTTGGTCACCTCCATGATCAGATACATGGTTAGACAAAATGTCGTACAGATGTACAATGAATATTTCTCAGTTCAAGGTGGAAATAAAGTTCTGATGTATGTGCCACAACATGAAGGAATCTCTATTTTATGAATGAATCTTGCAAACATGCTGGGTTTGCAAAAAGAACAAATGACTTAATTTATGTAAAATAGGCAAATATACTGATACCAAAGCTTATACAGGGGAGTAAGAGTGATTGCTTAAGGGGCACTGAATTTCATGGTACTAGAATAATATGGGAAAATATAGTAATAATGGTTGTACAATATGAAAAATGTAAAGTTGCTGAATTATACATGTAAAAATTGTTGAATGGAAAATGTTTTGTTATATATTCTTATACCATAATAAAAAACATTACTTTATAAAGTTAGCAGATTAAAACTCCACTCACTGCCATCCAGTCAATTCTGACTCAGAACAAACCTACAGGACAGGGTAGAACTGGCCCCGTGGGTTCCAAGACTGTCAACTCTTGACAGGAGCAGAAAGCCCCAGCTTTCTCCCGAGAAGTCACTGGTAAGCAAACCACTGAACTTTTAGTTAGCAGCCCAACAGTAACCACTATGCCACCAGGGCTCCTTAGCAGGTTAAGGACTATAGAATAACCAGTTTATTACCCATAGTGGCACAATGAAGGATCATTTTAGTCTTTTTAGGTATTAGAGATGGTGGAGCTCGATTGGTGCTGTTTCTAAGCAACTACACTGAAATGAACTGCTGGGAGCAACTCTGGGCCGAATGACTTAGCTTATTGACACTCCTACAGCTGACGATTAAAACGTGGGGTGGGGTGTTTCTGTTAAAGTTCAGACGTATGCCTTTGAGTCAATTCTGACTCACAATCATCCTCGAGACAGATTAGAACTGTCAAGGAATATAAAGCCTCATCTGTCTCCCGAAGAAAGAGCAGCATGTGGTTTTGAACTGCTGTCCTTGGGGTTTCCAGAGCAACTGGTAACACACTACACCTGCCACCAGGGCTCCTTTAAAGTTCCAATCGCTGATGATTAAAACATAGAATTATGTAAGAATAATGAGCGATGTATTTTAAGTGAGTGTTTAACTTAGTGTGCAAAGAAAACTAGGTAGTTCGTCTCTTGATAGTAGGAAATATGCATACATTTTAACCAATACCGCAGGAAAAAGACATCTTTAAAAATTTTGAAATTTAGTTTTTCACCAAAGGCATGTTTATTTTGGAAAGAGTATCTCTGGATTAAAATTAAATGGCAAAATGTGACTCAGCTTTTAAAGAACCAAACCAACGATCAAGTCAAAGACTATATTCTAATAATAATGTCTACTTAAAAAAAAAAAGAATCCTACAGCCACATTACTCTACGCCCATTTCTAATTATTTCACATATTGTTGATGACAGCGAATTGTTTTACCTTCAGGGTTTCAAGAGTACCATCTTCTTTGGCTAGGACGCTGCCAGTGATTCCTAAGATACTAACAACATTTACCCTAACTCTAGTGTTACTGTTACAAATGCCTGCTTTGCACAACGTCATCAGCTGATCAGGAGTCATACACTGTTGAGAGAAAAGAAAGCATTTACAGTGTTAAACTCAACCAAGTCCAAAAGCATGTAAAAAGAGGCTGTAAACTTCTAAATATGACAAATTCTGATAAGAGACTACATGTTCTCATTACTCCCAAATATATCTGTGTTTTCCAAACTAAACTGAGGCCTGATCATGTCGCTGCCACTATCTCCTACACAGGAAGCCTATCAGTTTCATTGAAGACTTCCTTTCATTCCAGATGCACACAGATGAAGGAGAATCTAACTTCTTCCTTTTATACTATTCTTAAGGCTTGGAAAAATGTAACTTGATCATGTCGTTTTAATAAAACACAGCTAGTTTTATATATGATTAGGCCACCTAGGAGGCACACGTTTGCTCCTACCTGCTAATATAAAGGTTGGCGGTTCGAACCCACCCAGTGCAGTAGAAACAAGTTCTTGACTTCTATAAAGATTACAGCCAAGAAAACCTTACATAGCGACTCTACTCTGTACTGTATAAGGCTGCCATGAGCCAGAATCGACTTGATGGCAACAGACTTTAGTTTTGTTTGCTTTTTTATATAAGGTGAGAATTTCCTTTGGGATATATGTGTTACTATAAAATATTAAATACGGTAAAAGCAAACAAACACACTGAATTAGTGTGCTTTCACCATGTAGTGGTAATTTTAAATGAATTACCTTGGCAGTAGGTATCACGAGCGTGCCAGTGCAAGTGTCAGGTTTCCAGGCTATCTGCTCTAGGGGAACTCAATATGGTGATGAGGGCTTGATAGGTGGAGTCAAACAGTTTGATTTCAAATCCCAGCTCCAATACTTATCTCTGGGCAATTCTACACAGGTCACTTAATCCCACTAAAATTTCAATTGCTCCATCACTAAATTTAGTAATATAATTAATTGCAGCAAAGTGTTGCTACAAGGATTGAGATAATGAATGTACTCACTAATTGTTATTTACAATAACACTGAGCAGTTCTAAATCATCAAACTAATATATGAATCATTTCATTAGTTCTGCCAAATCTAATGTGCCAGTTTTCTCAGAAAATACCAAAATGACAAAAATCCTGCCAACGTTTTCAGTTTTTTTTAAACTTATGACAAATCTATTACCAAAAATGTGAAATGGCGGATAACAAATGGAAAAGTTAGGAGTAGGGAGAGTAAGAATGTGCTGCATTACTGACAGTACACCTCACAAACATAACTAAACTCACTGTCCTCAAGTTGATTCAGACGCATAGCAACTGCCCCTGTGAGTTTCCAAGACTAACTCTTCATGGGAGTAGAAAGTCCCATCTTTTTCCTTTCGAGGGGCTGTTGGGTTAAAAGGCTGACCTTGTGGTTAGCAGCCCAGTGAGTAACCACTGCATCACCAGGCCAAAAAGAAAGTGCCCACTATCTCCCAGTTCGTGTACAAGCCTCCTCAGTTACAACACACTACTGCCTGCATACCATGGACAATCTTCGAGGATGCGAACATTGCTGTTTTGACATGGTGTTAATCAAAGTGTGTGGAATTCTTCAAAGGAGTAGAGAGATGGAAATACCATTTTTAGAAATATATAGACCTAGATTGAGACTATGTCAAAAACAGCTTCACATTTTGATATATTTAATAAAGGTGTCTGTGATTTTATAGGAATACTTTTTGAATTGACTTCACATGGGGCAAAACTTTCTTTTTCTTTTTAAATAAAGAGTATCTAGTAGCCTTGGCTGTTAATCGAAAGATTGACGGTTCAAATCTACCACATGCTCCATGGGAAAAAGATATGGCAATCTACTTCCATACAAACTACAGCTTTAGAAATCCAAGAGGCCCCTAGAAAGCAAGGGTTCTGGGTACTCCAGCACACTTTCTGTTTACTTGTAAAACACTTAGGGCATTCCAAGCCCAGAGGCACTGTTTCTGGAGGCACAGCGTAAGTGGCTAAGGAAGGACTGAAGACATGCCCTGAGAGGGCGACGTACAGGAACTGCAAAGCCAGATCAATGGAAGAATCATGTGCATGGATAGTGCAGTCATCAAGAATGATGATGGGACAAGTGAGGAGTGACTGAAACATCAGCAAATATCTTCAAGAAAAAAGGAAAAGTGGGTAATATGGCCTTAAGCCATGTTAATCAAAATAGGATAATATAAAGGAAGGCGAAAGTATAGCTTAGAACAGTATTCTAACACTTCAGTCGGCATAAAAATCACTAAGGTTGTTTGCTAAAACACAGATTATTTGGTTCCTCACAAAAGTTTCTATGCTTGAGTAGTCAAATGTGAGGTGCCAGAATTTGCCTTTATATACAATGAAGAGAACATCAAACCAATAGATAAATGGTTAAAATGATAGGAAAATCACAAAGAAATGCAAAGGCCCCTAAAAACATATGAAAAGCTGTCAGTCTTGCCATAACCAAGGAAATGCAAATTAAAACCAGACCTATTTTCTCGTCTGTCAAACTGACTAAGATCCAATCGTTTGACAGTAGACTGCTAGTTAAGCCATGGCAGAACAAACACTCTCAGACACCTCTGTGGGGATGAAAAATGGTCCATACTATAAGGAAGGTCATATCACAATACCTGAGGACTTAGGTGTGCCTGCCTCAAATCATGTTACCTTCAATTCCATATGAAAGTTGGACAACGAATAAGAAACACTGGAGAAGAATTGATGTCTTTGAATTATGGTAATAGAGAAAAATATTTAAAGTACCATAGACTGCCAGAAGAATAATTAAGCTGTCTTGGAAGAAGTATAACCAGTATGGCTTCTTAGAAGAAAAGATGGCCAGACTGTCTCACCTACTTTGGTCATGTTATCAGAAGACAGCAGGCCCTGGAAAAGGGTACCATGCTTGGCAAAGTAGAGGGTCAGCAAAAAAGAAGAAGACGTCATTCAACCGGAAGGACTGACACGATGGCTGCAAGAATGGGCTCAAACACCTAACAACTGAGTGTTGTGCACGACCAGGTGGGGTGTTTTCATCTACTATACACAGGGTTGCTTGCTATGAGTTGGAACCAATTCAATGACACATAGCAGCAAATCACAAAAGAACCTTGGTGGCACCGTGGATTGCTAACTATAATGTCAGTGGTTCAAATCTACCAGCCGCTTTGTGGTAGAAAAATGAGGTTGTCTGCCCCAGTACTTATAGCCTCAGAAACCCAACCAGCTGTTCTACTCTGTCCTATAGGGTCACTGTGAGTTGGAACTGAAGGATCAGTATGAAATCATGATTTCTGTTTGTTTCTAGTAATAATTATTTTCTAGCTCTGTCAACTAAAAAAGGCCTGGAAACAAAGATAGCATGATAGCAATAAACATGCGAAAATTCAATTTCCCATTAAAAGGAATCAAGGCTTCTTGGAGAAATGAATGAATCTAGGTTTTAATAAAAAAAAGTGCAAGACATCCTGGTCCACCAGGCCTTGAGGATGATGACCCCAATTAGAGCAGCCAGTCCACAGAGAGGACCACATGGCCAGCCCTACTATGAGACATGATGGCCCTCACTGGCCCATGACCCTGCGGGGGACAACACCAGAGACACAATGTGGGAATTGCACCCAATCTGATCCCGCCACACCGAGGCAAAGCACAGGGGGAGTGCAGCGGAACAGCAAGGGAATGGAGGAGCAAGGTCCCCAGGGAATGCCAAAGGTGGACTTTGGGGCCAGGGCGTGGTGCTCCAACAGACTGGACTGGAAAACACTCCTAAAGGCCAGCGAT